ACATCCCTCACGGTGCAGAGGTGTGGAAACCTGGTAAGCTCAGTTGTTCCGTGACATCACCATACTAACGAAATCGCATAGGGCCTAATTCAGAAAAGATCGAAATTGTAGTCACACTAGGAGGAGATGGTACTATTTTGCACGCCTCTTCCCTTTTTAGTGCGGGTGCGGTACCGCCCGTACTGAGCTTCTCCATGGGGACACTCGGCTTTTTACTCCCGTTCCGTAAGTCAGTCCTACCTTTCCGTGACGTTGAGCGCTAATGTACAACAGACATTGATGATTTTGCAAAAGCACTGGACAGTGTCTTTAATGGAAAGGCAACAATCCTAAACCGAATGCGACTCGCTTGCACGTTTTTTGATAGAGACCTAGCCAAGATTGGAAATGATGGAGATGGTTGGTTCTTCAAAAGAGAAAACGGAAGTCGACTAATTCTTCCTAGACTGGCAAGTTATGAATGAAGTTGCCCTGCACCGCGGGGCTAGCCCCCATCTGAATACTATAGATATCTTTGTTGACGGACAACACCTGACCGAAGCTGTCGTAAGGATCTCAACCTATGGTTACGCCTAAGAATAATACCTCCTAGTCAGACGGACTTATTGTCTCGACACCTACTGGCTCGACAGCATATTCCCTATCAGCAGGTGGTCCAATAGTCCATCCTTCGCTGAGTGCCCTTGTTTTGACGCCTATTTGTCCACGGAGTTTATCTTTCCGACCTCTCGTCTTCCCGTCCTCATCACTTATCACTCTTCGGGTAAGTAATGCTGTGTATGCCGTGTCCGTAGCCGATTCACAACTCTCCCAACTCGAAGGTCGGAGATCGGAGCCGAGCCCCTGCAGGCGTTTCAATGGATGGTCGCACCTCCCACGTCCTTAACCCAGGCGAGTCCGTCAACGTTCAGGCCTCCCCATTTCCTGTTCCTTGCATAAATCGCTCGTCGATCGCAGAGAGCAGTCCTGAAACTACGGAAGGCGCTGGCCCTGGGAAAGAAGACGACTGGGTTCGAGACATCAATAACTTGTTGCAGTACAACGCTACATTCCGAAGCAAAGCACTGCTACGGCACAGTCGCACGTAGAAGCAGCCACTTACCCGAATGTGAGGCGCCCTCGTTCAAAACGTGAAGAAATCATCCACTTGTCGTCTATTAATTCTACGATGCATGGATCCTATTGCCTACATGTGCAGTGCTATATAGCTACATTTCGAGCTCGTTATTACCTAGGTATATATCATGTAACACCATATATGAGGGGTATAACTTGAAAAAGACTTGTGGTTCGAAGCAGGATGCACCAATATTTAAGCTATGCAGTCGATGTGCGTCCAACGTCAATAAACACATATCGGCAACATCACATTATGGAGTTGGTCCTTTGTCGGACCACGATGCTGAATCGGCACCCGAATCAACAGGCGCTGTAAGACTTGATTGCGCTTTACTCGAGGCCCCACGTTCCTCTGAACGTGCCCGGCGGAAACGATTCCAAAACTTGGACGGTGCAGGGAGAACCTCGATGTTTACAATCTGGCCAGGCGATGCCTTATCCATCGCCCCTCCCCATGCTTCCCGTGAGATTCGTATTTTTTCTCGGGTTTTTGTTTGCGAGTTGAACACATAAACGTTGAAAACAATCCGCTCGCGAGGTATCTCTGCGAGTTTTCGGATCTCTTTTTGGGCGATGTCGATCGCCGTCTATGATCAGCTAAAATCACTAAATGCCACTAACAGCTAAAGGAATAAGAAAAAACCTCATAATCGTAGGCTGGGGTCACAAAGACGCGTGTATTCTTGTATTCGTAGGTTATGAAGTTTGCGCGAGGACGTTGTACGATGCAATAAGACATGGCAGGACTAGTACTTGGGAGCTGAAGCGGCGGATGGGATGATTTGAGGCACTCTCTTATATAGCTGGCCTAATCTGGATTCTACGTTGACCCTTTCGGAACCCGAACGTGGATTTCTCTTTTGCCTAATTTACAGCGGCCGGAAATGGAAAAGGCAGTGTGTCATTTGTCATTAGACCAAGGCTGGAGCGTATAAAAAGCTTCATCGGCAGGGAATGTTGCTTATGCGACGGATACGAATTGCTGTAAAGCCTGCCACCGCGTGGGACATTGCAGCGTTTGGTGGCTTCGAGTTTCTATTTTTAGTAGAATTGCTGTTAGAATGCTGTGCAAAAGGTAATTCGAAGATTTCACGTACTCCGCTTGTACATAAGTGAGGATGCGCTAAAAAATCTATGGTATCTCTCATTTATAAAGATGAAACAGTTTATTTCGCGTCAGCCCAGGTCAGCCCACATCAAGCAGATCCTTCAGCCAACAAAGTAAACAAACTCCCCTGCGCGTGCGCAGCCGCCGGCATTGGCGGATGCTCCTTTCGGATCTTTTTCCCAGAAGTTCTCTTACCCTCCATAAAAACATGCTCCAGCCCCTCTTGGCACGCACCCCACAAGGGATCGGTCACTGGGCTGTCAGCCAAGGGAATAATCCCTGTAAGGAGCGCATGGAATTTTCTTCCGGAGAAAAGCCGGGAAACGGCCGGTACAAGGTTTGAAATAAGGAGGACATTGGCAAGCTCGCTGATGCTTGCTAAAGACGCGAGGATTTGGGCAGTAAGCTGTACATTTCGATCCATCACGAGGGGTAATTTAGCGATGCTAGACTCGAACATTTCATCGGGATACATGAAAGTCGCAAGAAAACAGCGCGCTTCTCGTTTTGACCATCGCTCCTGATCTCTATCTTTGCTGTTAGTTTCCTGTGCCCTCTTGTGCAACGTGTAAATGACCCAGCGAAGACTCAAGGCAATAGTCAAATTTTCACGTTCTAGTGCCCTGACTGCAGGCGTGTCGCAGGACACCGCACGTAGCAAAACTGTCAAAGCATCTGTTTGAGGTCTTAACAGCAAGGGTGCTGATTCATTAGATTGGAATGGAGCTTCTATGATTGAAAGTAGATCATTTAATGGCATCACATCAACGATCTCCTCTGCAATGCGAATGCCTCGACGAATGTGTTCCTGTGACAATAAACGTGCCAGGGACAGCATGTTTTCTGATCGTTCTGGAAGCCGATGGAGGCTGTTCTTGCTCCTGCAGCCTCTTGCTCTGCAGCCTCGTGGACAGGCTGGTGGAGTCTCCGCAGATCCCCCTTCAGCGGCGCAAGTAAATCGACCTCGTCGTCGCTTTTAGCTTCTTCTACGTCGACAAGCTCATGGTCATCCCCGTTCGTATCCGAGACTGTCATCCTCTCCAGACGCTGACTCGTTCGACTCGGGCTTGTCCTGGGCCACTGGCAGACCAAGAGAATCGGCCAGTATGGAGTATACCCATGTCCGAATGGGTCTTCCTATGCTACGGCCAACGGTCTCCATATCTGGATTCTCCAGGAAAAGACGAGGCCAATAAGATGCTGTGCTTAAGATAGCTCATTATTTCCTCTGATAGAAGTCCTTTGCGATAAGCCGCGAGATACAGTCCCCTTAGTTTGATCTTTGACTGGCTATCTTCGTCCATTATATTCATATCATCATCTTCGAATAGATGAGAGAAAAATGGAACCAAAGGACAGGTACCGGGGTCGTGGAGCGCGCAAACTTCCGTGGGCCAGAGACTCTCTTTCCCACCCAGACTCCCTTGGTGTTTTGGTATAGCATATTGAAGCGTAGCGTTGACGATGCCTTCTATTATCTTATCGATCTCGCTGGATCTTATCGTCGTGGTCCAGCGCGACAGCAACGTGTTTACGGTACGATCGATGAGATCCATAACGCTGCCAACGTGATGTTTCGCGCGTTTTGCACCTGGAATCTGGAGACAAAATATTCCGAATAGTTGATGCAGCACGTTCTATACGTTGATTCAAAGACAGCTGTCGCTCAAAGAAGAGGGACCGAACATTGCGACTTGGGTTCTCAGAGCGACTCGCGAAGTCATTGCCAACTATGGCGCCAAGCAACGGGAGCAACGCCGCCGGAATTTTCAGATGTGCCGCTAAAGACTCTGGGCTATACGCACAGAACGTAAGAGCCAAATCTTGGGCGTTACCATCCGGTGGGATGACTCCTCTGCCCGCTCCAGTACTGCTAGCTTTCTTTTTCGTCTTAGCTTTGCGGACGGTGCGAAACTCGCCGTCAGAGTTCTCGTTGGGTGCGACGTCCAATGATTCGGGTATTGACCAGACCATTTCATCGAGAGGTATATAGCCTTTGTAACCCTCCGAATTCAATATGACAAAGTCAGAGTCATTCCCTATTACGTAGCCGCCGATCCGGCCAGCTAATTCGACAGCAAAAGGGTCTCCTTCTTCATCCGCAAAATGAACATGCAAACCGTTCGACTCCTGTGCGATGGATTGTAGTGACTGAACGCACGCTGAGAAAGCTAGTGAAGGAATTATCCGCGTTTCGTTTAGGAAGCGCCCAGTATTTCTTGAACTGGTCGACGTCCGAAAAAACAACAGGGAATGATGAATCTGTTTTTCCGTAAGGCGGGTGGTCATGGTCGGAAACTTGATTTCAGGACGTGGGCCTATATTAGATATTAGATCTTCGGACGACGCATGATTCGATGTACCCTATACCATCAAATACAAAGTAGACCTCGAACCCAACGTTGATCCATGCCTGGACAGTTCGGATCACGAGAGAAGAAAATTCAGTATATTCTCCTCCATATACCCAGGGCAGATATGAGTCGTAGTAAAGCTTGTATATGAATCTGGCAAATTCATTTCAGGGACGTAGCCTATCAAAGTTCAATTAGTTACGTACGACCATCCATCTACAATGACTGGCGTCGTGGTTGATTCAACAGAGTAAGTATGCTGAAATGTTTTAGATAACGACCGTCTGTTTTCGTGGAGGAACGTTGTGAGTCCGAGGACGCCCATTTTGAAGGTTGGGGATCATGAACGCTAGACTAGAAGTCTGCATGAGATAATCTCTTGCTAACGTCACGATGATCTTCACGACACCAAATTTAAAGGCAACATGGCCGAGTGGTCTAAGGCGCTGGAATTAGGTAGCACGTGCCGCGAATAATCCAGTCCGAAAGGGCGTGGGTTCGAACCCCACTGTTGTCAAATCCATTTTTTTCAATCGGTGGTATGGTCTGTCTTTATTACGCGTAATGTACCTAGATTCTAATTGTATACTCAAGAACATGTCTATGTAGAGTCCTTCTTCCTCTCATCCTCATTTTCCTTCCATCTCTCATATACCCTAGTGAATGTTCGACTGGCGAGTACGAATGGTTCGTCGGTCCACGCCTTGTCCCAAACCCTCGAAGCAAACTGCTTCTGCTCGCCGGACACGACGCTCTCGCGTAGGATACTTAACACGCGAAATGTGGGTGCTAGTAGCTTATTGATTCTTTCCCAGAAAGGCGGAAAATCTGGCGGGATGGGCAGTAACAAGGACTGCGAACTATAATCATCGTCAATCTATCATTCAGTATTGAAATGAGTGGTATTGCGTACCTCGCGTCCAGGTCAGAGTTTCGGGGCACCACATAGCCCCACTTTTTGCGATGAGCTCCTTCTGGTCCGTCAGCCAATTTCTTCGTCATCGATGTTTCTGTCATAGCTTCCCTCTTGCGATCCTTCAGGGCTTCGAGGCGTTGCTGTTGCTCTAAATCCAGTAACATCATCTCCGTCTTCTCAAGCATTGCCCATCGACCCGACCCTGTCCACATGTACCATCCCTCGTTCCAATATTTCGTGCCCTCCAGTCGCCGTTTACCCGGTTTTTCATCCGGGTCGTCGCTCCGCTTGCCACCGAGCAGTTTGGGGATATTCTCAGGTTGCCCCTCATGTGGCAATGGGTATTTGACCTGTCCATCTGGGCCGACATTATGATGGCTCTTGACACCGATTACATTTCTGACTTCGTGGAGAAACACTTTGCGGATGCAGAAAGAGCGGCAGTACGGCTCCTTGCCGTTTAACCGTCCGCTCACAGTTTGTGAGAGATACGTGAAACACCATTCGTCAGTCTTTGGAGAGTGTTTGCCTGCTGGAACATGAGCTCCATTGCTGACGTATGCTAAGTGACCTTACCTTGAGGCAATGTTAAAATTTTGATGGTAGGGTAATCAGCAAAAAGCGGTTTTCTTTGGCGCGCGGATTGTTGCGGTTGTTGTGCAGTGGAATCCGACATGAAGGTATATAAAGAACGATGGCACAGGAGTCATTCGTTCAAGGCTTAGTGCTTCCTTGGTTGTGTACGTAAGCTGGTAGCATCACTTCAGACTCCGCCCAAAAAGTTATTTGAATATTTCTTCCATTTCCTACCACCACCTAACCGCCTCAAAAGCCAGGCAGGTGAGTTAAAATCTCATGGTTCATTCTCTATGATGTTCTACATATCTATGAATTTCTTCAAGGTGTATACCTTGATCATATGGTCAAGGGCATGCTCCACATTTGACACCTCTGATTTTTCCCCTGCGCTTTTTATTAACGTTTATTGGGTCCCAACTAATAATGTGAACAGTTGACAGAACACTATATACAAAAGTCGCATAGTACATGCATCATTGCATGCGACCATAGAGATTAATATCATAAAATAATAAAGAGGTGGTATCTGGGTAACCTTCAAAGCTTTGCTTTGATATGCTGCTCGGCTGGTTCTTGTCCCTCGAGCTCCCGCTTCGCTCTTTCTCTCAATTCTCGTCGAAGGATTTTACCGGCAGCGCTAGAAACTACGTCAGCTGCAAAATCAGGATATCGGATAGCTCTGTACCTCTTCGGAACTATATCGACAATGACGATGCCTGAGAACAAATTTAATGAATATCCTAAAAGTTAGAATAACACTCACCCCCTCTGAGATATTTATAATAGGCCACTTGGGTTTGTATCCAGCTCTCCACTTCACGACAGAAAGTGGTCCTACTGGGTTCATCACGAATTGTATTAGGCTTAGCATGGACAACGTAGGCTCTGATGAATGGATTAGATCAAGTGTTAACCGAAAAGTAATGCAGTCACCTGGGTAATTCAGTTGCCTCCTTCGTACTGTAGACCCCAATAACCGCTACATCTGCAATGTCAGGATGGGTCAAAAGAACGCTTTCTAATTCTGCTGGGGGAACTGCCAGCCGTCATATTTGCTTTGGTTCATCTCGAGACAATAACGTCATTTGCCTACCTTGGAAACCCTGGTGATTGATCAGCACTTATGATACAAAAACTCGAGTAGATCACCTTGTATTTGATGAGTTCTTTCCGTCTATCAACAATGTAATAAAACCCTTCAGCATCCCGTCTCGCAATGTCACCGGTCTTGAACCATCTATCTCGTGTGATTGCATCAGCCGTCGCCGCTTTATTACCTAGATAGGACTGGGGGAGTTCAGCGTAGGCGAGAAAAGAATACCGCTAGATCTCACTTTCATGATTGTAGGTCCTCTGACCCACAGCTCGCCTGGCTGCCCTTCCTCGACATCACCATTACTGTCCCCATCGACTATTCGCGCTTCCAAATTGGGCAATAGCATCCCTACGCTACCCACCTTGCGCATACCATCCTCAATAGGTACCATATGAGTGGTGGGTGACGTTTCCGTGAGGCCGTATCCTTTCCATGGACTATCAGCGCACTGTCATTATACGGATGAAATCCTTACCTTGCATAACAGTAAGATTCGTTTTGCCATTTCGCTTGGCAAGTAGGCGTTTTATGACCTTTCAGAGGCTTAGCCCATTCTTTGTCCAGAGGGGGAAAAGGCATACCGCAGTTGAAAGTGCAGCACCTAACGGAGCAGCACCTGAAAAAAGAACCTCTAGGGATGACATGTCGTATTTATCGACAACTAATGTGATGAGCACCACAGCCAGGTATTCCGTTAGTAGACTTACTGGGATGCCGGGACAACAAAACTAATACAGGAGGCACGACAAGAGCAATGGCAATCTTGTATTTTTCCACGTTCGCGCAAAACTGGACAGGGTCGAATCGTTGTTGAATGACTACTGGCGTCCCGCACATGAATGGAAAATGGAGAACTTTAACGGCACCTGCATAAGAACTGTCAAGTCAAAAACGAGGACATACTCAGATCATGACATACCATAAATATGATAAAAGGGTAAAATGCCCAAATGCGTGGTCTGGCCTACAGTGACTGCGGGAAACACTGTCATTACCATATCCAAGACAGAGGTGATGTTCTGGTGCGTCGTCTGTAAACGAAAAGTAAATCAAGATATTGTCATGCGGTTGCGTGTTGGTTTTCCATGTACCTCTACACCTTTTGGCTTTCCCGTAGTGCCTGGGTCGGGATTAGCTCAACTGTCGTGAACATTTTTTGCATGTAACCCACCTGAGCTGTAGCAGAGATAAACGGTCTCGTGTGCCAATCTGCCATCGAACCTCTCTCCTTCTGTGAGGGACCCCAACTTGAGTAGATCTTCCATATGCAGAAGCCCCGCAGCCTCGGCTTTGCGTGGAGCGGCTGGGCCGCCAGCCCAGTCCAAACTGCTTCCTAACACGACGATCTTTCTGTCGGCTTGATCGTCGGTAAGGCCGAGGTTCTGCAAAGTTTCTCGCGCGACTGCAAGCCCTTCTTCGCTCGTAAAAATGAGACTGGCACCGCTATCAGAGTACTGGTGTTCAAGTTCCCGTGCATTGTATGCGCTGTTGGCCAGCGTGCATCTTAACCCCGCGGCAACTACAGATACGATAGTCGGTGATCCAGACATGTATTTAGAAAAGAATCGCTTACCTGCGCCCAACAGCACGACGGGCCAATACAGAGCATTGATTGAATAGATGAGAACAGTGTCGCCCCGACTGGCAGCAGTCTGCGGGTGGTTGCGAATGCCGTATCCAAATGCAAGGGTTAGCCGTTTGAGGTCGGCACGGGTAATAGTTGCGCCAGAAGCGGCGTCTATGAAAGCAGGGGTCGAACCGGGAAATTGACCAACCAAGTTTGGGTCACTAGAAGCAAAGAGATGGGTATAGACGGATCTTTCTACCACGGGTATGGAAGGCACCGTAGACCTGTAGATTCTCTGGGCCATCGTCGGTCTCAAGTGAGGGTCCCACCAGCTGCTGGGAATGTTTTAAAGGGTTGAAGCGACCATGAACCGGCCACCTCAACGAGGAACCCGGTTGTCACATGCTCCGAATGCACTACACCATTATTGGTATTTTATTTATTTATTTATGGTTCTGTTTACGCATCTGGCGGGGCGATCAGGCACACGTCTTCGTTCAAATCAGACGAGTCCACCAATATTTCAATTCACATTTACCCACCACAAGCAACTGGGTTCGAGATATCTTTGGAGACTTGTTGCAATCCAAGATAACATTCCGAGCAGATATTGCGAATTTATTATCTAGATACTAGAACCCCGTGTATGGTACTAACACATTTTTCGTCCCAGCACGCCCTCCGCAAGCGATCCTGGTCAGACGGTGCCTTATTCATTGCGTCTGATGCTTCTCCCGACATTCGTGTCTTGCTTCCCTCCCAAGTTGATATCAAAGCAATACACTCACAAGGAATATTGACAACCAGGGACAAATCCTGGGAAGGAGTTTAAACCCATGTATGCATCCCCAGGGCCACGAAATTGAATCTAATACGCCCTACGGCCCAAGCACTCTGCGAATACCCCTACAACGAATGGTGATCGATTGATTCGAGACACAAGCTTCAATTACTACCAAAACTAGATTCTACGTTGGTCCTTCCGGGAGTAATCTACCGCGAGCTGGGTCCTGTCTCTCGATATGCTCTGAGGCATCTATGTCAAACTTGATCCTCTTTTACAACGTACCCTAAGGTAGTCTATGGCGTACACAGCTACTCAAGCGCGTTTTCACTTCCAAAACCTGTCCTGAAAGTAATCCGCTGCAAGCTCTGGAGTGATCTACGGCAAGCTGGCTCCAAGTTTGTGTCCTGGATACCCTGTGGCGTATGCGGCCATCCAAGCTAGATTCCTCTTTTGGATGAAGCTGACCTGTGGCTAAATTGCAGCACAAGCTGGTCCCCTTTTGTCAGAACGTGAATTGTCCTGGACGTAATCTATGTTGACTGGAAATGGAAAGGCATTGTTTTATTCCCAAA